ACATCCTAGACTTAAGCAAACTCTTCACATTACAAAGGTGAAAGGTGGGAAGGCAAGATCTCTTTCCTTCAAAGTGTGTACGTTAACCTGTTAGCTTGAATGTCCCTGTTTCACAGAAGAGCCAAGTGTGCCCAGGAAAACTCACAGTGGACAATTCTGTAATGGCTTCTCAGTTCTGTGGAAACAATTTCGTTATACTCTCTGTTTTGTTTGGAGTTTAACTATTAAACAGGTTTCTTGCTACATAACAATTGAGTAGCACAGTATAGTATTGAAGGGTGTGAGTCCCAGCACTACTCTACTCAAATAAATCCTGCTTAGGGCTTTTCTAACTCTGATGATAGCTACATGTTTGACTTCTATAGTACACTATTTCATCTATGAAATAGGTATAATGTAAACATTATGTCTGCTGTTTGCAGATGTAGAATATGAAGCATTTTGTAGAACAGAGTCTATATTTAATGGCTAGAAATGCTTCCTCAATAAGTAATTTTTCCATAGATACTTAATGGATACTTCTCAGAACCAGTAATGTACTGTCTGGATAATTAGTTCTATATTTTTGCCTAACCAATTTCAAGATATTTCCTTAAAAAATGAAAAGTTGGTTTATTTTTTATTATAGCCAAAAGGTGAGATGTCTGATTTTTCTCCCCACAGTGCTTATGGTCATCTTTTAATTTATAGAAAGCTGAAAGGCGGAGGAAAGATACATATGGAATTTCAATCATAAGAATGAGTAATTCATTCTTCTTGAAGAGGAAAGGGAACTTGGTCACCACTTGCCTCTGTTTTGTGTTATAGAGACCATATATATTCAAATCTAGGTTTATGAAATGGAGTTAGAACAATGACAACTTTGAAAGAAGAAAGCCAAAGAGATTGTGGTATCACACACACACACACACACACACACACACACACACACACACACACAAAACTGGGACAAGAATTCTTGTTAAAGCTTAGATTTCATTCCTTTGGTAGAAAGAGAGTGAAAGTTTGTATGTGGTTTGTTGTGTTGCTTGTTGTTGTTTTGTGAAAGGTTCTCATGTGAAATGCCCACTTTGACCTTGAGTCTCCTATGTAACTAAGAATGGCCCTAAACTCCTGATTCCTCTGTCTCCACCTACTGCACATGGGAATTGGGAATTATAGGTATGGGCCACACAGACGATACTTCAAGACCAGGATGTTAAACACACTGCTGGTCACATACAGAATGAAACAGATATCTGCCTCTCTCTCTCTCTCTCTCTCTCTCTCTCTCTCTCTCTCTCTCTCTCTCTCTCTCTCTTTCTCTCTCTTACAGTATTTCTTCTTCAGCCCTGGAATCCATAAAGGGTTGCTGTTAGAATACTGCAGAACATGGAGACGAAAATTGTAAAACCAGATGCAATTTCTTCTTTGTAGCTTTTCTTCTTTATATAGTACATTCCAAAGAATGAGCAGAGTCAGACATATGAATGTTCCTTTGATAGCATTAGCATTAAAACTAAAGTGTTTGTATTCAAAGTCATGGTTGTCTACATGTGCTGCTATATTCACCATTGTCAGCAGTAATGTAATATGAGCTAATATCGCTACATTCCAAAAACTCTTACATTAAAGTAGTATAATGATTGAAAAAAAAGACATAAGATTATGTGTAGATTATGTATCTCACTATCCATGATGTAAAAATAAATCAAGTAGCAAATATTCTGAAAAGTATATCAGTGTATATTTTCTTCGGTAATTTCCCCATGAATATGTTGTAGTTTGATCAAATCCACACTCCACTGATTCCCTTCAATAAATCCCCTAATCTCCTAATCACTTCTACACTTTCCATTCTAAACTTCACTTGCTCTCTCTCTCTTTTTCATGTTCTACCTCCCTTTATCTCTCTTTCTCTCTCCCTCTGTCCCTTCCTCTATACCTCCCTCTCTCATTAGTTCTCTCTTGGAACTCACTGATTCCACTTTGTGCTGCTGATATGTGTGTGGGTTTGAGTAGTCTCTCTGGGGCTGTTTTTCTGAGGAATCTTGACTCTCTTTCCCAAAATAGTCATCATTGGCAAGTATCCCTTCAGTTAGTTGTGAGATTTTATAGCTTTCTACTTTAAGATAAAAAGACAAATATTCTGACAGGAAAGATATAACTTAGGACAACCAGCCAAGCTGAGGAAAAGGGAACAAGGAAGCCAGAAATCATGTGGAAAGGACAAAACAAATAATAATGTCAGTGTGTGTAGTAAAATCTGAAAGGAACAAGGAAGATTCAGATCTGAGGTCAGCGGCATTGTGTTCCTCTCTGGACTTTTCTAAGACTAGTATATATGAACCTCATGACAATATTTAGCATTCTTTTCCATTTAAAGGACAAAACTTGTAATCACGTTGGCCTATGAAATATTTTTCAGCTTAGCCAATTCAATTTGAAAATGTATTAGAACAATATGATCTTTAGCCTCTGCAAGCAAATAAAAACTAGAAGGAAATATTCACTGAACATCTAGTGGATATGGTCATAGACATGATGTAGTTTATGCTAGATATTATTTGTGAATGTCAAACATAAAATTATTATATAGAAGTTGAGGGCATAGTTTCTGATTATCCTTCTTTTTAAGTAATAATATCCAACAGAAGGTAAAATAAACCACAACTATGAGCTGCGTGTGTACCTAATTTTAATTTTCTAGTAATCTGTTACCAAACTAGCAAATATACACAAAAGAGTATATATATATATATATATATATATATATATATATATATATATATATATAATGTGAATGTTTCTTTGGTAGTAGTAGTATTAAAACTAAAGTGCTTATATTCAAAATCACAGTTGTCTACATGTGCTGCTATATTCACTATTGTCAACTGTAATGTAATATGAGTTAATATCGCTACATTCCCAAGTTATATATACATATATATGTATATAAAACTATGTGTGTGTGTGACAGAATATATCTAAATAAGAGTCACATTGTGTTAACAAGTAATAAACATTGAGACTGTAGTGAGTTATTGCATATTATATATTTTGTTTGAATTTTAAAAAGTGGTTCACATTTGACAACTACTTCCTAAATTTCAAACAAATAGTCTAATTATTGCAAGTGGTTACCATATTAGACTGGATAATGCAAGTTAGCATTATGTGTTCACTATCTTGTCCAGAATTTTAAATGTTGACAAAATAATAATAATTTTGAATTTGTCAGACCAATGTTTCACAATTATAAACGACACAAAATACCACATCCTGCTTAAATTATTTTTACAAGAGTACACATGTAGAATGCACTCAGAGGAGATTTTTGAACACTGTCCACCACATGTTTTATCTCATTCACAGTAACTTGTTACCATAGCAGATGTTTAGAGATTTATGAATAGTACTTTGACAGCACAGAATAACCTATAATTGAATAAGTTTAGGGCTGAATTACATTGACAGGCTGACAAAATTCTATCTGTCTATCTATCATCTATCTACCACTACACTGGCTAATGCATACATTGCTACAGAAAGTAGAAACGATGCTATATATTTACTTAATAACTGTATGTGTTATATAGGTTTTTAAATTCGTATAATTTGTTCTCTATTATTTTTTCTATTTATAATCCTCCTGCTTCTTTCTTAACTGAAGCAAAAGGCTGTGTCTTCCTTAATATCAATGCTTACTTATTGTGGTTAACAAAATAGTGTTGTATTAACATGCATATTATATTTATTTCTTTATTTTGATCGTGTGTGTGTGTGTGTGTGTGTGTGTGCTTTATGTATGCATATTCATGAAGCCTAGGACTTCCCATTTTGATTACATTTTATGGACATGTATCTAGCTACCTACCATGCCTCCTTCACCCTCACACTGAGGTTACAACATAGATATGTAATGAGAAGCTTCTCGAAGGGCTCTGGGGTATAAACATTTGTCCTCATTCTTACCCAGTTAGATTTACTTACTGAACATTTTCTGTCTCTCAATGCTTATTATAATAAAAGAATACAAGCTCCCTGAACTGAAATGCATAATTCAACAGGACTCCATTTTTCCCAGTTAGACATGAACCATATACAAAATAATTTGCACACATTCAGTGTTTTTGGTTTACAAAGTATAGAAAAATCTTTTTTTCTTTTAAAATATAAGGCTCAGAATTGATGTGACCTGTTAACCATTTCCATTGCAGAAATAGCATTCTTTTTTCATTTGATTTATCTTCAAACTTTAAGGTATGATCTTTTCAATTGTCTGACTTCAAGAGTACTTAAAAAATTTTTTTTTTGATCTTGATATTTTGTTCTCAACCTTTGTCTATTTAGCTATGGCCAAAACAGCTTATGAATGCTTGAAGATCATTTTTCTTAGCATTCCTTGTTATGGAAGAACATGTACCATTGTCTGTTGCATACTAGAAGGAATGCTTAAGATGTTTTAAGTTTCAAATTCACAGGATAGCTATACAGAAACAATGATGCCCATGCAGAAGGATGAACTACAAATGCTACTTTAACTCAGCAATTCACTCTTATAATATTAATTTCTTCCCATTTTAGGGTGATCAATAAGTATAAATGTGTATTAATTTTGTATAAAATATTCACTTTTCTTCATTGTAATTGATAGTTTTAAGTAAGCATAAAACTTAGGCAATTAATCAAAACTGTAGTAGGTTGAAGAGGATCAACCATCCATCAAGTAGTTTAGAATTCTTTCCTTTTGTTTTTATACACATTAGCAGAATAATAGTTTCCTTGAAAGTCACCATGAGATTACATAAATTTAATGTATGTTTGCTTATCTGTTTTGTAGGTCTTCTTAGATGGAATGTCATAAACCAGAAACTTCCAAAGCATCGATGTGTAAATTACCATCACTCTACTAAAACGGAAAGCTCATTGATCACAGATACCACTCAACCCTGGATCCCACCACTTTACATTAAGTACTGGAGTATTTATTACTCTTCTGTAGGAGAAAGCCTTTGCCAATGCTTACAAGGAACTCTTTATACCTGCTTCTCTGGATCCTGTTTGATGGAGGTCTCCTAACATCACTTCAGCCGCAGCCACAACAGACTTTATCCACAGAACCAAAAGAAAATGTTATCCACCTTCCAGGGAGACGATCCCATCTCCAACGAGTTAAACGTGGCTGGGTATGGAATCAGTTTTTTGTGCTGGAAGAATACATGGGATCCGAACCTCAGTATGTGGGAAAGGTAATGCCATGTTTCTTTTGACAACTTCTTGATAGGAAAGGGGAGTAACGATTGTGTGATGTGTGTGGATGGTTTGCACAGGAGTTGAACAAACCAGTGACTAGACCACTGTAATTGAAATCCAACAGACTTGGTTTCTCTTCCTGACTCTGGCCTGGGTAAGCCTTGTAATATCCATTTCTTCCCTTTGCTTCTATTTTTCAAATTCCCCCATTGTTTTGATGAAATAGATTTTGACTTCTATTGTCGAAGACATGAATTTAAAATGCTTAAACTACATTAAAATATGGGCAGAGTATAGTGCACTCTTGTTCACAGACAGTCTGTAATTTCTGTCCATTTCCAGGATCAAGGGCAAATCTCCAAGCATAAATGCTATAATTGGTATTCCTAATGGTTTCCCTTTAAAATGTGACATATTAAATAGAATTTATTTTTAATATGTTTGTAGTGTCTTGCTTATGCTTCAACAATAGTTCTCTAAGATTTATTTATTTATTTATTTATTTATTTATTTATTTATCTGTTCCTCTGTCTGAACATAAGTACCAAACAATGTATGCAGCAGTCTGAAAACACTTTGGGCGAGTCTCCTGTCTCTGTCCACTGTAGGTTCCAGGATCAAACACAGCTCACCTTGCTTGGCATCATTTTCGTTACAGCCTCCGTCTTGTTTGTACAGTACTTCTATTTATTGACTTCTTTTTTTTTTTTGGTCCAGAAAAGAGTATTACTAGAGTTTAAAAGAAAAACGAACAATAAAGACAAACAAACAATAAAGTTTATCAGCTGTGTAGTTGCCTAGAAAATGGAGGAGAAAAGAAAAATAATAAAGATAAAAAAACCCAAGCAACACAACAAAAAGTGTCATGCCTTTTGCTCTGGTGGCATAGAGGTCTGCTACAGGGCAACAAATGGTCACATGCCCTTAGTAAAGAGTGTGGAAGCCTGAAGTACCGGAGAAAGGCTTACTAAGTTCTGAACAGCTCTGGCACGAAAAAATAGGAAGTTGAAATAAATAAATAAATGTATGAATAAATAAATCGGAAACAGAACAAAAACAAAAGCCTCACACTTTCTGAGAAAAGTGGGAAGACTCAGTTAAATTTCACTTATCCATAGATTTAATTATGGGGACTGAGCTAGGGGACAGGATTAGCCTACCTATTTCCCTATCATGTCTTATGTTAAAGACTTCTTTCCTAAAGATGTTCTCTCTGTCCTGAGGGGTAGTTCATAGTCCCATTTTTGAGTCATTTTCCAGCAAAATGGAATATTAGGTCTTCACCTCTGCTGAGATTCAGTTTTGTTTAATGAAATTTGATTGATCTCTAAAATCCCTGGTTAATAAGAAATAACTCTAAAATGCTTTATGAGTTTGGAAAATCTATACAAGACAATTTTACCAAAATAGTCTAGCAATTGCATAAATATTTCTCCTCATTTTTATTTGTTAAAATTTTACCCATTTCAGAATATACAGAAAGTATGTTTTTCTAAAAAAAAGAAACAAAAAAAACCTTTCCATTAACTTTGATGGTGTGAATTTTTAAAGAAAACCTGTTATCATGATTTTAACTTTAATTAAAATATAACTACATTGCTTTCTTTCCCAATTCATATCTCACGGAGATGTTGTCCCTCACTTCATCTCAAATTTGTGAGTTCTTTCTCACTGGTTATTATTTATATACACAAACACACATACAAATAAACACACACATGTATATAAATCTATAAATATATTGCTACAACCTGTTGTTAGAAAGGCATAAACTTAGTTCGAAATAAAACTATAAATAGAATTTGCAAGAAAAGAAACAGAGCAATTCAAAGCTAAGTATATAAGAAATTATAATAGTTGATTATTATTTACACTAAACATTATGAAAACCCGGAAGCTGAGTAGACCATAAAAGATAAATGAATCAGGCATTAGTACACTGAAGACCAGAGTCCAATTACATTAGCACGAACCACAAAACCTCCCTTATACACTTTTGAGGAAATAGCCCTAAAATAACACTACCTTGATTGTAATGCATACAGTTTCTAATTCTCTGATCAGCCAATGGTATTATATAAGCCTAACAATATATATATATGTGTGTGTGTGTGCATGTATGTATATATATATATATATATATATATATATATATATATATATATATATATATATATATATATATACTGTATATTAAAAATATATATATATATATATATATATATATATATGAATTCTATGTGCTTTATCTAATTATTCATTTAATAGTATTAGAAATCCAGAGTAATGACAAAAGAGTATGTCTTTCCAACTCTTCTCCAAAGATATTAACTACTATAGCTCAGTATATGTTTTCTGACATTGCCTGAAATTTCCATCATAGTCTTTGTTTTTTTACTAAGTCAGATATATACATTTAAATATGAGAACTGTAGGTGATAAGGTAAAATATTTTAGACAAATTTTATGTTGTTCTTGTACAGTTTCATTTTCCCTTCCAATGAATACAAATGGGATCTAGGGATTTAGTTTTGAAAACTATTCCTTAATATTTTAGAATTTTATCTTTGAACCTTTTATGACAGTATGTAATTAAATGTTAGACTGAAGAATACATTATTTATAAATATAGGATTAAAAGTGAGTAGATTTAATACCTAATCTATTGCATCTAAATATTACCATTTTCTATTGATATGTGACCTCACATTGGTAATGGGTATATATAGTTCTCATGCCAAGATGGATTTCTAATGTAGTAAAACAATAGTTACCAAGATTTCTTTTTCATAAGAAAATTAAAGTTTAAATAACTCTATGTTGATGCTTCTGGATTTGGGAATAGAATTATGACAACCTAGAGAGCTAAATCAAGGCATTTTATGCATTGTGTAAACACACATAAATATACTTACATTCCTGATCTTTTTAAAAAAGCTTTGAGATTGCTTATAAAGATTAATTAGTTTAAAAATGTAGAATTGAAGACCAAGGAAAATAGAAAGCTGAGAAATACCAAGCAGGTGAATGCTATCAGTGAGCCTCATGTTTGAGATTCTGTTATTCTTTAGGAAAACATAAAAGAAAAATAAAATCATTAGATATCTCCTATTGGAAATCATGTCTTAGGAGATGTAATGAGCTTAATTTATCTGTACCCCAAAGTTCCCTCATGCAATCTAGTTAAGTGAAAACCTGGCATCGTTTAGAAGCCATAAAAAAGCATTTTTAATTGTAGATTTTAGCATTGAAAAATACTAAAGTTGGCACTTATTCAAGGACAATCATATTATGGCATTGCTTATGATCAATATTAGTGTATTTCTATTTGAAGAAAATGTAGGAATATCCAACTAAAATGACAGTCCTTTCCTCAAAATAAGGTTTTGATTTAGTAAAATACTCACGATGAATCTAAGATTGTTTTTTGAAATTTAATACATACTTTAACTGAAAAAACATTCTGGGATTTTATCATTTAAAGCACAAGGAAAAAAGACAGGAAAGTCATAAAATCAGGAAAATATGAAATATGCACATTGACCCATAAGTACTTGGATTTGCACAAGTTGAAGTAACTGCATGTCTATAAAACTGTTTTGACAGAGCCTTGGCATATGCTTCTAGAAAATACTGCTCATTTATTCTTACAGAAATTACTGACTTGTCATTTTAACAACTGGATGGACTACAGTGAACAGTAATTCTTCAAATTTTTGTTCTAAATGAAATATATAAAATTAAATCACATGTAGACTATGCTTTCCAATCCGTCACCTTTTCCTAAAATATTGTTGATGTAGAATTCATTATCGCTTGAGACAATGTGAGGATAAATGGAAATTTGAAGGTCCCCAGGTTGCAATTATAATAGGTAAATTTATTAAATACTTCCTTTGGGCACTGTTTTAATTGCTTTAGATAGATAAACTTGCATAACCTTCAAAATAGAATTATGAAGATTTTTATTAGTATCTCCATTTTAAACATAAAAAAACTAAGGCTCTAAAAAAGTCAAGTAATGTCAACAGACAGGAAATTATAAAACTTATGTATTAAGTCAAATAACCAAGTTTCATTGCAGTGAAAAATATTTTTTCTCAAGTGCTAAAATTTTAATAATTTTCTGTCTTAGTACAATGGACAGATTTTTTGAAATTGTTTTGATAATGGAAAAGATGTGTTCAGATTATGAACAGTAGATGAGGCATTAAAAGCAGAGAAAGGATAATACAAAAGTAGGGAGAGATAAATTACTCTAAAGATTTTTGAAAAAAGCAATAGGGAAGCATCATCTCATGTTTATTAAAAATAGTTATGTTCCATAAATAATTATATGTACATACTTATATGAATTTATTTTAATAGAATTATGAAAAATAGAGTCCAGTGTGCTTTCTAAGAAAAAAAAACCCAGTGATAAACATAAGAAAATTCCCTTGGGGTTGTTCCTCAGAGGAGTCAAAGAGACTCCAAAAACAATGTAAATTATTGCCAGTGCTATTACTGCTTCTCGGAGCTTGAAGGTAAGGTCTTACTGCCTATAACACCACACTTGACAGACACTGGACTTGAAGATATTGAGCTGAATCTGATCTGGAAGTGTCCTCCCTGAAAATGAGTTCACATAGTATAAAAAGATGCTATGAAAGCTACCAAGAGAGAAAGGCATTTAATAATTCTGCCAAGATATAAAGCCTGTGGACCACAGCAATGACTAGAACCACGTGATATCTTCAATAGTGCTACCAAGGCACTTTTATCTTGGGGATAACCAAAATCCATCTTATAGGGATAAAGCATTCCCAAATAGATGGGAATTAATGTCTAATGGGAACTGACTACTTATTGCTGGAAATGAGATGGACTTTAAAGAATAGCCTACTAATGTCACTTTCCTAAATGATTATAATTTCTAACTGCAATCTTTTATCCAAATTTTCATCCTGTATCTTTATATCTAATGATAAATGCAGCCTTTGCTTCTCTTTAAAGA